TAAAAAAATAGTATAAACTTTTCTCTTTGAACAACGTGTAAAATCCCATCATTTTTTAAATTAATTTATTTACAAATTGGTATATCATAAAAAAATATAAATTACATTATTTTAAATTATATGAAAAGTTCTATAAAACAAGATGTGACAAAAATATTTTATATTATCAAATGATTGATAAAATTATGTAAAAAAATAGTATAAAGACCTAAATGTAAATTTTTAAGAACGTGGACGGCAGGATTCGAACCTGCGCGGGCAGAGCCCACATGATTTCTAGTCATGCCCGATAACCACTCCGGCACGTCCACTTTGTGTTTCTAAGCTTCTAAATTAGGTTATTATTCCATTTCAATCGAAATTAATACGTCACAAGTGATTTTTTTTTTGAAACACGTCACGAGTGTTTTAATTTCTGATATGCGAATAAAGTTATCTTCAACTCAATTTTTTTTATATATTGATGTAAACTTTTTATTAAAAAGAATTTAAACTTTTTTATAAAATGACACATGGATTAACTATTTTATTCAACGGAGTAATGAATAAAAAATATATATAAAGAAGGAAACGGGATACTCCATCTAATTTTTCCTTGTAAGGAAATTTTCTATTTATTTATCTAAGAACTTAAACAAAATTATTTGTGAAATTTGCACTAAATAACGCTAAAACATATGTTCTTTTCCAATGTAGCAATTAAATCTTTTTCCTTAAATAGTACTTGAATAATGTCTAGTGACAGAAATAATGTCCAGAAGGTGGCATTTACTTGACATGACCAGTAGACATAGAACAGTGATACTACATTGGAAAATAAAATATATATGGTGCTACATTGGAAAGTCACTATGTTGTAATACTATTTAGGTAAATTTCTCATTTTATTTTTGGGAAAAATATGCTATTATGTAAAAAGATTTTCTATTTTTGTTCGAAAAGTAATTGAAAAGACTATTTGGCGGTAATCTTTAGCGTTAGCGTCTTCAAATTTAATTTACATTGTTAAAATTTTATCCAAAACACTGCTACCGCTAATCCAAAACACTCTTTCCAAACAAGGCTCAACACCCCATTTTTAATTTGTGAATGAATACGATAAACTATTTTGAGTGAGCATAAGTTAAAATTTTATTTTCAATATAATATTGAGTTCATGTGAAAGGTGCTTTTAAAAACTAAGAAATACTTAAGTCACAAACATCATGATCACAAATAAGATATTTGTGATCTTGAGTTTAAGTCCTACATTAAGAAATGACTTATATGTTTTAGTCTTATTTAGTGCAAATTTCACTATAAGTAAATGTTGAGTAAATGGTTATTTGTGATACATCTTTATTATTTTTATTGAAATTCACAAATACTCCCTCCGTTCTATAATGTTCTTCCCACTCACTTTTTACACAGTTAAACATTTATCACTTTCTTTACCTATTTTCATTAGGTATTTGATAAAATAATATAATCTTGTCACCACTTGTTTTGTAGAACTTTTGATGTAATTTTTAAATATATAAATTTTATTTTTTAATTTTACACTTACAATCAAATAAATTGAATTGAAAATAAAGTTGGTCAAACTTCGTAAAATGAGCCGGGAAGAACATTATAGGAGGGAGGGAGTAGAAAGTTTGTGAATTTTGTTATCATATTTTAGTTGTGAACTAATCATTTCTCTATCTGAAATTCAATGTGTTGTAAGCAAATTTAAATACTCCGTATAAATAAAATTTGGCATGAAACAAAGTTTTAATTTTAAAGATCTTGACCGAATTTTATGTGTGCCATGTTCACTTTTGTGAAAAAGCCAAATAGGAGCCCCCAAATTCTCCTCTATAGAGCTCCTTTTCATCATCTAATACGGAGTATTATTAGATTTGATCAGATTTTATTAAAAATATTTATGGTCAACTTGTGAATTTTTCACCTTTTACGACCCTTTGAAAAAAATGTATCCTCAAAATATATTACTCTCTCCGTCCGGAAATAATCTTTTCATTTCTCTTTTTTCTCCGTCCGGAAATAATCTTCCCATTTCAACTTTCTATACACTAACTACCCAAAATACCCCCACTTACAAATACTCACGCTATCTCTCCCCTCCCCTTTTCTCTCTCCTCCCTTCCTCGCATCTCTTCTCTCTTTCCTTTCTCTTCTCTTTTTTCTTCTTCTTTTCTTCTTTCCTACAGATCCGTTCATTCTTCTTCTTCTTCTTCCCCAGTTCTTTCTCACCCTGTTTTTTCTCCAGATCTATTCCTTCTTCTTCTTTTTTCTTCTTCTCCTCCTTCTCCTCTCCCTTCTTTCTCGTCATCCTATTTCCGTCCAGATCTGTTCCTCTTTCTTCTTCTTCTTTTTCTTCTCCCCCAATTCTTTCTCATCCCTCTTTTTTTTCTCTAAATCAATTCATCTTCTTTTTTCCTCTTCTTATTCCCCTTTTTCTCCTATTTGTTTGTCTTCTAAATCTTGTAAGGTCTGGGAAGATCTAGGGGCTGAAGTGGTTGCGGGGGGTCGACGGTGGTTTTGGATCTGCCGCAGCAATGGTATCGACGGAAATGGTGAGAGCAAAAGGTAGGGTAGTGGGTGGGGACAATTGGGGGAAGGGTATTTTAGACTTTTCCATCCTAAAGTCAACACTTCAAAAAATGGGAAAAAGTCCAAATGGGAAGTTTAATTCCGGACGGAGGAAGTACCATAAATTTTAAGCACTTCTTAGATTCTTTTGGAAAAATATGGTAGCTCAAAAGTTCTTATGGCAAAATAGGAGATACTCGGAACAATTTTTGACGAT